GCACTTGTTTGATCAAAGCAATGTCCGAAGGGACCATGTATCCTTTGGATGTCTCATTGATCATTGGGAAACCGCATGAAACATCTCAAAAATACAATCCAAAAATTCCGTTTTTAGAATCGTTAAACAAACATAATGTTATCACCATAAGATAAAATCATCAAACATGTATCTCAGAGTCTCATAAAAACTGTCTATAAATAACTGTCTCATATAAAAATATCAGAGTGAGCTCCCAGGCTGGTTGGGAAAACCCTAGCCGACTCGCCGAGTCATCGACTGACTCGCTGAGCCCAAGGCAATCTTCATCGGACTCGCCGAGTTGTTCATCAACTCGTCGAGTTCATGCCCATCTTCATATGACTCGCCGAGTCGACCTTACGACTCGCCGAGTCCCTTCAATCCTTCATCCATACAGATGCTTTTTAAGCCATGCTAACGCTCCATATTGTAGATACAGCTTCCCAAGGCATGTTTATCACGTAAAGTTGCAAACTTTACGTGCATGCAAGGCTCTAAATGAAAAATCTAAGATTATAATTGAGTTTTACACTCAAGGAAGGCTTCATACATGACCAAGCTTGAAACTTTATGAACCTAGAACCCAAGAAGGGTCCAAATCTGAAGTTGCAACTTCAGATCTAGCTCATACTCCACAATATCATCATAACCAAGCCAAAAATAACCCTAAACTTCACCCAAAAGAGATCTAGAAAGAAATGAGGTAAAGGTGACGACTTGATACCCTCAAATGATGCTAAGTGAGGTAGATTTTCGATCCCCACAAGTTCCTTGCTTCTAGCCACTTGTTTCTCCAAGCTTTCCTCACTAAGATTCACCTTCCAAAACTTATAACACACAAAATGAAGCACACACACGAATTAGGGTTGGTTTGATTCTCAAAAGACTGCAAGGGGGATAAAGGGAGGCTGTTGATCCTTTAAATAGGGTGCAAAACCCCGGGATTTAGGGTTTCTTCTGCCAGCTCCTACTCGTCGAGTCCCTTCTTGGACTCGGCGAGTAGTTCATTAAAACGCGTGGACTAACCCGCTGCTACTCGACGAGTAGGGCAACCAACTCGTCGAGTAGCCCTTGAAATCAAGAAACTTTATATTAAATCAATACCTGAAAATCGGGGCGTGACACCTTTTCAACGTCTTAATACATAAAGTCACTGACTTGGTGACTTTGTATGACCCTAATAAGCCTAAACTCCAAAATAGCATTCCATTCTCATAGAAATGATCTTAACTCATGCATGAATCCAATAAGACATTCAAGATGGCAACTTTCTTCCTTAGGGACTCATTTTGAACTAAGAGTGGCAACTCTAAGTCTAGAAATCAGATTTAAACCAAAAAGTTGTATACTTGGGACCAAAATGACTTCAAAATCAAACGACATTAGATCTAAGCATTCTTGAGGAAAGTTATGAACTTTATACCTCCAAAGAGTCTCAAATGATGATGTTATTCCAGATCTATAAGCTCAAACTTCCCAAGTCCTTCCTTGTCAATTTCTTCTTTCCTCTTCCAATCTTAAAAATCACCAAGATGGGCTTCTCAAGGGTAAAATACACAAGAATGAAGGGATGAGACGTTCTCGGGTTTTTCTGAGGTTGGGGAGGCTGATAAGGGGCTAGGGTTCAAGTCCTCATGTTCTTTATATATTGCTTGACCCTAAAATTAGGGTTTAGTGTCACTGAGCGTACGATGGGCGTACATCTCGTACGCTGGACATACGTCTCGAAAAACCCGCGACCATTTAACCTTCTACGCCGGGCGTACCTCAACTTATGCTGGGCGTACTCACCCAGCTGCCACCTTTGCATGCATGGTCCTTTCTTGCCACTTCCTTCCAACCAAGGGATAGAAATGACAAATTAAAATCCGAGGGATGAATTTGAAGTTACTTGAAAAATGGGATGTTACATTATCCTTCAGATCTACACCCTATACTCCATATCTAGGCTAGAAATGCCTCTATAAGGGTAAAGTTTCCAACTTTACCCATTAATACCCTTCCTAATGAGATTGAGCTCAAACCCTAACCCAAAAAGGCCAAAATCTTCATCCAAAGACCACCAAAACTACAAGATAGACCAGGAGGTCATAGATCTGGACTCTAGGGACTGAAATATCATGTAAAGTCCCAGCTTTCTCTACATGCATGGCCATCAGAAGCTCCAAAAGGCCAAAATGATTGTCTAAAGGTTGCATGGGACTTCCATGGCCATAAAGTTTGCACCTTTGTGCAATGAAAACCCCTCAAGACCCTAGATCTGAAGTGTTAACCCATTTGGGACATCGAACTCCCAAGGACCATGATATTGAACCAAAACCAAGCAAAATAACCCCAAAGGAATATCTAAACAACTATAAGGCAAGGTTCAAGCTTTATACCTGAAAAGTGTCGTGGATGAGGCAAGGATTCTGGATCTATAAGCTCCTTCTTGAGTCTTCAAGCTTTTCCTTCTTCCAATGGCTTCAACACAAACCAAAAACACCCAAAATGGCTCACAATCACTCAAAGTAGCTTTATGGTTTCGAGATCTAGGGTTAGGACAGTGGAGGCTGGAAAATGAGGCCATCATGAAAGGTTTAAGGTGTTTAAATAAGGTGCAAAACCCCGAAATTAGGGTTTCATTTTACCCAGCCAACTCGTCGAGTTTATATCTCCCAACTCGCCAAGTTGGTCACCAAAATGTGCAGTACACAATCATCTCTGCTTGACGAGTCTGGGGCCTCCAACTCGTCGAGTTGCTCTATAGAAATGAATAATTTATAAATTAAATACATACCATGAACGAGGCGTTACAGAATCAGGCACTAAGCGACTGTTCTTCTTCATCTATGTCATCCGATTTCATTCTTCATCCGTAGCAGAAACCATTACCACTACTAGTCTAATTCTGATTATCAGTTCTTTCTTCTTGGCTTTGATGACCTGAAAGGCTGAATTCTAAAAGGTTAAAAGGTATGTTCTTCTTCGGTTCTTCTCAACTTTGAAAGCTAAAATCATAAATGTTCCCCATTTCCCCGTCTTCTTTAACCATTTGACATAACTTTTAATACATAGTGATGTTAGGGTTAACTTTATTGCTTAAATATATTCACAAAAAAACATATACATAAAAAATTAACTACGTCATTTAAACTTTTTAGTTTATTATTGTCGGTTTCAAACCCGGATAAAAGATGAGGGTTTATAACACTAAATATAGTAAATACGAAAGGGACCCAAAATTTTGATTTGCTTAGAGTCCCAAAACTGATTGAGCCGCCACTCTTAATTCCGTCACGTATATACTAGCATATGTTATGACTAACATTACTAAATTTACTATCATCCTATCTAGAAATGGTTTTCACATTTTACCCATTTCACAACGTATGATGTTAGATAAGACCTTTACTCATCCAATTATATATTATTATATATATATATTAAAGTTATGAAAGATTGTACATTTTTTGTCAATTTTGGTACTCCAACTTACAACATTGACCCTTTATATTTATGCTTTTGTTCACAAACAACCCTTTCACTTTGGTTTGAATTTTTCATAACCCTCGCCTTTTATTACATATTATTAGTATTTAGTCTTTTGGTAGAAATGGTCCCTCATCATCATTATTATTATTGTTAACAACCCTTTCACTTTGGTTTGAATTTTTCATAACCATCGCCTTTTATTACATATTATTAGTATTTAGTCTTTTGGCAGAAATGGTCCCTCATCATTATTATTATTATTGTTAGACAAAATTACACGATTGGTCCTTATGGTTTACCAGATTTAACATTCTCTTTTTGGTTTTAAATTAATGTTTTATTTATTAGAAAATACCCACCCAATACCATAAACCCACCCACCATCTGCCATCACCACTACCACCACCACCGCCAAAATTACATAAATGGTCCATATAGTTTACCCATGGTGACAAATTCAGTCCATACTACCTGAAAAGACCAAATTATCCTCACATTAACGGACAAAAAGCAACAAACATGCTACTTTACTTTACAAAGCAATACCCTCTGACCCCGGCAACGCCGGGGAATCTTTTCTAGTATATATTAAATCCCGTGGGATGTTTAAACAGTAAATTTTTAACATTCATATTTTGACCCCATACTTTTCTTTCCTTCACAGATTTGCTATAGGAGTTTAGGACTTTTGGTTTCTGCCCCCACTTTTTAGGGGGTTTCACAGTTTTCATCCTTCAACTTTTACACTTGCAATCTCCATCCACAAAAGTATGTTTAATTGTTAATTTAGTCCCTGCATTTTCCAATATTGTTATATTTCGATACTTTTTCCAACATTATTTTGTCGGTTATATGTTTTTTTAAACTATCACTTCGAATCATTTTTTTTAGAGAACTCTAAATGATTTCCAACTCATGCGAAGCATGTGCTCTTTCCTAGTTTAGATGGTATTAAGATTCACCATCAACACGTCACATTTATTACTTTAATGAATTTCACGAAAGTAAATATTGTATTTGAGTTTGGAGAGTCTTGTAACGATACCATCTAGACCAACATGATGCATATTTATAAGCTCCCCCATACCGGAAACTTCACAAGTATAAAAAACGTATTTGTCTTGCCGGCATTTTCACCCATCGGAATTTTGGCCGTGGGTATCCTAGATACCATTCACCTACTCTTTAATTTATAGGCTATGCTATTGTTGTTGTGGGTTATCTAATCTTTAATTTATAGGCAATGCTATTGTTGTTGTGGGTTATCTAATCACAAAATATTAATTTAACCAAAATCTTTTCTTTTACCATCCACTCTTCCCTACCCAACATTTTTGTGCCATTATTGCGTCGGTCTCTATCTCCACCGCCACTATAACCTGATTTTTGTTATCGATCAACCATCATTGTATTCTAATACGTCATCGGCCCTACCTGTCCCCTCGGCAATCCCCAATATCTCTGCTTGTATCTATACATGCATCATATCCATCATGGGTCGGGTGGCCTTCCTCCCCAATTTGTCGCTTTCTTTTTCAACCCCTTTCTCATTTCCCTTCTTCCTCCTTTGAATTTTCTTTTAACAGCAGTCAACCCAGTCTTCATATTAAGGATACCCATTTCTGTCACTTTCTGCATATACCGCTATAAATTATACAAGATACTGTCGGTGACTATCATCTTCTTCGCCTTCCCCTTCTCCTGCGTCTGAACTCATCAAAACCATGCCCAGACTCAATTCCGATTCGACTCGCAAAGGGTAACTTCACTTTTTGTTCGTGATTCAGTTTTTTGTGTCTAAAGTTTAAGCATTTATTCTTTTCTCTTATTGACTGATAACTGTTTGCTTCTGTTTTAAACAATGTGGGTATGCTTGATTCAACCATATATTCTGAAAAAGTATAAAGGATGCATGTTGATTCCAACAGTTGTTACATTCGGACTTCGTTTTGTGGACATTCTCCTGTTTCGTTTTCTAAAATCTACTAAGTTTTCACAGGATTTTTGTTGAAAAACCGATTTCTCTTTCTAATTTATTTCAAAATCGATTGACCCCGTTTTGGTAAATGGGTCCTCTCTCTTTTGCTTTGTTGATAAGATTTGTATGCGATTTTATTTATGTTGCAGTGATTCTGGGAATTATGGGCAGAATTTTAATGATCAACAGGGTGTACTAAATATGTCGCCGACGCCTTCATCTTGCAACTTATCTCCAGTTAGTTTTTCTCTTTTATACATGGCATGGCATGGGTTTTGCATTAAAATACCTTGAAATCGATTTGAATGGTTTAAGATTTCAGAAAATTTTCACAAACACTTCAAATTCCAATCACCCGATTTGAATTTTTTTTGTTTGTTGTATTTGTGTGTAGTCATATGTGGAATTGGTTGAAGAGATAACCTCCATTGAAACAGAAATACTTCATTTAGAACGGCATTTGCTTTCACTCTATCGCACAGCTTTTAAGCCACCACATCGTCACAATACAGACGAAACGCCGGAATCACATTTTCCACCCATTTCCGATCAGTCATGTGACAAATTGAAGACAAATGATCAAATTCTAAAATCATCATCTAGAAGAAAAAGTGGTCATCGTAGCCTCGGTGATCACCTTGGAACTCCTTGTACCGATTTTGTCCTTCCTGATAGACTTTCTGAAGACATGGTGAAATGTATATCATCTATCTACTGCAAACTTGGGGTTGGGGACCCAAATCAATTTCATCAAGGACCTTCTGATTCTTCTGATTCATCATTATCCTCTTCGAGTACAATATCTACCAAAAATCTTTCTGATACTTGGAGTCCGTATTGTAATCAGGAAAGAGGGCCATATGGGGATATGATACAAGTCTTGAAAATAGGCTTAGATGATGATACTTTCAATTATGCTGCAAAGATGCTAATACATTTCAGGTAAATGATTTTATTTTTGTATCTTTAGATTTGGTTTTCTGAAAGGGTTTTTTTTTTTTTTTTTAATTTTTTTGAACTTTTATAGAACATTGGTAAAGAAACTTGAGGACATTGATGTTGGGAAAATGAAGCGGGAACAAAAGCTTGCGTTTTGGATCAACATTCATAATGCTTTGGTGATGCATGTAAGTCATTTAACTTCACCCTCCAAACATTTTTCTTGCATTATTGAAACTAGAGTAAGTTACATTTTTGGTCCCTGAGTTTAGCTATTTTTCCCAGTTTTGGCTCCAAAGAGTTTTTTTCTCTGGCAAGTTTGCCCTTATTTGAGATTCTTGTAATGTTTTTGGTCCCCATTCCAAGTAAAATTTCTAATTTTTTGGATTCCGAGTGTAGCTGATTTTTGCAATATTGGTCCTAAATTTTGTAAAAGGGACCAAAAATGTTACAAAAACCTGAATATAGACTAAAATTGCAAGAGCTACCAAAATTGAAGTTTTCAACTATACTCAGGGACCATAAATGTAATTTACTCTAGAAAGATTTTTTTAACCCTATCTGATTTTATTTTATTTTTTATTTTTTTGTTTTTTGCAGGCACATCTAGCATATGGAACTCATAGCAATTCAAGAACCAATTCCATCTTAAAGGTAAAACTTATACCATTCTAAATTTTGGGTAAATTACAATTTTCGTTCCTGTAGTTAGCAGATTTTTACGGATATGATCCGGTTTTTTCATTTTAACCTATTTCGTCACTGAAAAGTATTTTGTCACTCTTTTAGTACCTGAAGTGGGCACCTTTTTAATAGATGAGCGTTAAATGCATGTAAAATGACCATTTTGCCCCCTTGATTCAGGCAACTTATAACGTGGGAGGACACTGTATAAATGCGTATATCATACAAAGTTCTATATTAGGAATCAGATCACACTTTAGAGCCTCGGTTTGCTTCTTATCTTTATCTCACCATCTTTTAAAATTATGAATTTTTAACTCATTTTTAATAGCAACTTACTTTGTGAACAGTGGCTACACTCATTGTTATCCCCAGGGAGAAAATCGGCAACAGTGCCTCAACATCATGTTTATGCGATTGAATACCCTGAGCCTCTTGTCCATTTTGCACTCTCTTTAGGAACATTCTCTGATCCAGCGGTATGTACATTGACAAAACTACCCATGGGGTTGTTTAATGTTTTTTTCCCCATGTATGGGTAAAGTGGTTGAATGGGTAATGATGTATGTATGGACAAAGTTTTTCTATACATAACGTTTGATCATTTGACCCTTAAAAGCCAAAAAAAGTTTGAACAATATTCATCAAATTTGACAGAGTATTAATCAAATACTAATGTAGGTTCGAGTGTACAAGGCGAAAAATATATTTGGGGATCTTAGAGTTGCTAAAGAAGAGTTTATAAGATCAAATGTCCATATGCATAAAGAATATTCAAAGGTATCTGTACCTAAGATCTTGTACTACTTTGCAAAGGATATGGCGTTGACTGTACCTGGACTTTTGGAGATGGTCAATGATTGCCTACCAGAAAGTCAACGGAGAGTAATTGAAAAAAATGTTAAAGGGAAAACTGACAAGTATGCTTGTTGGTTATCACAAAGTTCCATATTTGGTTATTGGATTCATAGAGATGCTATTGAAGGAAGAGTGTTTGTTTGATATGTATTTTACTTTTTCTTGCCATATTGTGGTACATATGAATATGATACGATATAGGAGGAAAGAGGTGTACAGAGTTTTCAAGGATCTTGATGTTTGTTGTTTCATTTTCTGATGGGGTTTCTTCTTTTTCTTAAACACCCTTATTAATTATTACTTGTATTTTTTTTCGTGTGTCAAAATGACATGGAACGCAATACTTTCTTAGTCTTGTAGGGTGTGACACTTGTTTTTAGTGGTTGTTCTGTTCTATCACATAAATAATAATAAAAAATAGGTGGTAGAGTTTAAGGTGAACTGAATCTTGTTTGTATTTTGTTGGCTTTTAGCAAATATAATTTCTCATGTTTTTTTTTTTTTGGATTGTAAATAACAATAGTCTGAAACTCCAAATTATGCTTAATTTATTTTCTTTGTAGTTTCTTCATTCGTGTTTAGTTTAAAAAGAAAATATTTGAATGAAGATAATATAAAGTACTAATAAAGTAATAATGATAGTAATGATAACAATAAAAGGGGAAAAAATGCAGATATAATTATAAATAATATAAATGATACTACAAGACTGATAAGAAAAATTCGATAACGGTAATAATAAATAGTTATAATGAAAAAAATTAGTAGCAAATGTTCTACTATAGCAATTGGTAATAATAATAATAAATATCAATAAAAAGAAACGAACATATAAAGAAAATAAAATAATTTGCACCCTAAGGTGAATGCAGTTTCCTTCAAGCGGTGTATTCTCAGATTTCAAGGGAATTCAGTTCCTTGATATTTTCAATCAGAAAATGATATGAAATTTGGTTAAATGAAAAACATCTTCCTATTGGATTTAATCGAATCCCGTCAAATCTAACATGCTCTTGCTTTTAACATGGGGCCTCTAATCATGCCAAACGGAAACACACTCAAGTGGAAGAAAAAAAAAAGAAGTTCAAATGAATATATCAGGAAACCTGTTCCACAAAATAGTTGGATTTGACAATTCTAAGATTCAAAATCTTTGCTCTCATAAAATAGTCTCACGCACTAAGAGATTGTGATTTGACAAATCTTAGTTCTTATCCAACGTATATTTCAGCTTTTTGAGAAATTGCCATGATTTTGAAAACATGTCAAATATATCTTCTTTTTTTCTAAAAGCCAAGAATTACGATGAAACAACAAAATCCATCCAAATTACTAAAAGTAAAACCGACATAGCCTGTCATATTCAGCTTGTGACAGAAAAAGAAAAAGAAAAAAAGAAATAACCGAATGTGATTAATTTGTTATAAACATATAAACTTAGACTCTATGTATTATATTCTAAATAAATCACCAAAAAGCATCTACAAAATTTCAGTGAGTCAAGTCAATCAAGCTTGCACTTCCGCAGGCATTTAACCATCAACGAAATCACCACGTACAAACCTCCTACCTGCACCACAATCAGCACTACAACAAAAAAAAAAAAAATAATAAAAATAAAATAATAAATAAATAAAAAGTCAACACTTCACACCACCTCCACTTTCTCAATTTTCATTACGCTTTGTGTTTGGTTTGCAGATTCTGATGGATTCCAATGGAATGCAAGATTCGGTTCCATAATATTTGTTTGGTTGCCAAATAGATGGAATTGAAAATCTTTTTTTTTTTTTTTTTTTTTTTTTAATTTCATGTTTGATGGATTTCACCATTTCTTCTATGGGAGGGTGGAAGGAAAGGTATTCAATTTCTTTCTTCCTAAAACACCACTATACCCCCCTTATATAAAAGACTAAATTACAAATTTCGTTCCAGTGCTTTCTGTTTTCCTTTTCTTTTTGGTTCAAGTCCACAGATGAAACAGTGATATAAGAAGAAAAGTTTCATTTTTGGGCCTATAAACAAAAAAAGCACAGGGACCAAATTTGCAAATTTCTCTAAATAAAAAAAAAACAAAAATATTGAAGTATAAATAAAGTTTCAACCAACCAACTGTGCCTTTTTTTTTAAAAAAAAAGGGTAAGGGTAGAATCGTAATTGAAAATATAATAACATACCGGTTACAAAAAAGGAGAATAAGATAGCCAAGCGATGTCTTGTAAGCCATGGTAAATCAACTTCAAGAAAACAGTGTTGTTGGTGTAATTGGGTCTTTTTGGTTTTGGTTTGAAGGTCAAGCAATGATGTAGTCACACTATTAACAACCTCACCACTTACGCCTCTCACTTCAAATCTCAAACTCACGGGTTTTGCCTCCCAATCTACTTGTATAACTCCAAAATTAGGTTGTCCTATACATTATACATTATAAATTACAAATTATAAATTATATATAATGGATTAAATAGGAAGAAAAACGGTGACAGACCGTATGTGCATGATTTGTATTTGCAGTTGTTGTTGATAACTCTCATGGTGGTAGGTGTAACCCATGCCAAGAATCTCAGCCCAAAATGTAGAAATGAAGGGATCACCTTCTCAACAGCTTGGGTAAGACCACTTGAGGTGATGTCATACAAGGGATACGTGGTCCCACAATCGAATCGTGTTATTTCTCCAAAATGTACATCTCCACTTATGAATACAACCCCATCTCTCTGTTATATTAATAAATAAAAATTAAAACTCTCAAATCTCAATCAGAATAAAAATATAAATACCTTGCTATCTGATATCATGTTAAAAAGACGTTTTCTGTCGCTTGGAAAACGTCCCCAACTCTCCATGTAGAATAAAGGACCCGTACATGCTGAAAGATTTGATACAACCTGAAATTTAGGCATCCATTAAACCTCTAATTGTATTCTTTGTGATTGTATTTGGCATAAATGATAAACTGATGATTATTTGTGAAATAAGAAAGTTATATACCTGAATAGATGAACCAATTATTGTTATTGCTGAAGGTTGACCATTCAACTCCTTTTCAAACCACTTCCATTGTGCAGTTCCCAAAATAGTTCCATCACTGCGTAGGGGGTCTCTGTGGTATCTAGTATCCAAAAGAATCACCTAAACCCAAGTAAGTCAGATACACATACACTACGCATCTATATATTGATAAGAAAAAAAAAACAAATCCAGTAATATATAACAAATAATACCTTGATCTGTCTACCCTCAGGACCAAATGTGTAAGATGCATAAACACCAGCCTGCTTACGTCTACAAAAGCAAGCATCCCCATTTGAGTAATTATCAACAATAACATGGAAAGTGGAAACTGCTTTTTTTTTAAGCAGTATTTACCTTGGACTATCATGGGGTTCATCCAAGAAATCCAACATAAGCTTTTGATTGGTATCTTTCCCTTTAAATTCTTTCCCAGCATCATTCAATCCATAATCATGATCATCCCAAGTGCCAATCACCTACAATATACTTGCACCATGAAACAATACCAAAACTCAGTGTTAATGAAGCCCAAACGTTGTTTAGGAAGTAAAGAAGCACCTTAGCAATCTCACGGAGACGGGAATAACCATGATTCTTCTTTGCAATCTTGTATTTCTCTTGCATTTCATCCACTGAAGAAGGAACAAACCTAGGAACGTTCTTCCATGGCCCAATGGTTCTCTCATTCCCAAACAATTTAAAAGGCCTCCTGATATCTCCATATATATTATCCCCAAGCCAAATGAAAACTTGGGGTTTGAAATTTACTATAGCGTCCCATATAGGCTGCAAATAAGTGATTAAAATTCGGATTAGCCCTATACCCTAAAAAATTCCCCTTCTTTTTTCAAAAATACAAGTTGTGCCTAGATTTTGAAGTTCAAATCAAGTAGTAATGTATGTGTATGTATAGATTTCGTAGAGGAAACATCATTTTATTTGCAGTATCTATTAGTATAAAGTTTTTGTAGTCAGCAATTGATGATTGAAGAGCTTTTGTATTAACGTTCAATTTCCACATCAAAACTAAACCGTCTGACATTAAAAACAAAATCGTTTGACATCAAAAATCAAACTGTCACTCCTTTTTGTTCTTCCTCTGGCTAGTAATACACTGATTTTGTCAATACACATGAGAATAACGGAATTGTACCTGTGGAGAGGTCTGATTAGCGCAAGAACCAAATGCAATTCGAGAGATGAGAGCTTCTTCGGGAACAGCAACACTGAAACTGAAAGCCGTTGCTATCACCATCCACGTCAGTACCATTGCCATTTGTTCAAGTTTCTACAACTACTATTATTGAATACGATCAAGAAATTTTATTGGTTTGAGTTATATGGGAAAGGGGGTTTTGTGATCGACGTCGATTGTAGGCGGTTTATATAATGATGAAAAACGCAAAATGCACTGAAATGCAAAACATCAATTCACCACCTTGTGTACTCTGAAAACGGAAAAAAGGAAAGTGCAAAAACAATGCCCTTGGGTAATTGGGTCAGATCTCCTTTCTAGGATCTTTACCCTGGTTTGCTTTGGTGCGTTTTCCTATTTTATATTTCTAAGTTTTTTTAGCAGGGAAAATTACATTAGTCAAAAAAAGACAGTTTTATAGATGTCTAAACTTTGTGAAAATTTTCAATGTTATTTAATAGGGAAATTACATAAGTCAAAAAAATACAGTTTTATAGATTTTTAAACTTTGTGAGATTTTTGTAATAAATGTTATTTAGTAGGTTATTAATTATCTAGCCGGTTGTCATTGTTTTAGTCCAACATCATTTTTATGTATATAGATGTAACACCTAGTTTTAGGATGTTTCTAATATCGGGATAACGGGTCGTAAATTGATCGAATATAGGTTTTGGGCTTCAAGGGAATAGAGTCTAGACCCTTTCGAATGTTGATAATGTTGGATTGAGTGATTTAAGCCCTTGATTTGTGCTTTGAAGCAAAAGGGTAAAATGGGAAAAATAATATTCGGCATTCTTGCACGGATTATAGTTTTAGCTCAACATGTATTTAATCAAAACTAATTATATAGAGTTGTTGGGTTCGTCAATACCTTTCCGTGCATATAAAGATCGCCGAAAACGAAGTTGTAACGAAAAAGTTATAGCTGTTTGAAGTTGTAGTGGAATTGGGTGAAAACCCATCGTCACAAGGTGGCAGACATGTTGTCACGACGTGAGAGCTGTCACGAGGTGTAACACCCTAATTTTCAAATATTGATTAAATGAAAAATAATTGTTCCAACATCTTCCAAGATCAATTCTGAACTTACTTATAGACTAAAATACAGCGGAAGCAAAATAAAATTAAATAAAGTCTTCAATTGAACAACTTCGGGTGTTACGTCTTTGCGGAA